TTGTGTTATTCCTTTATTTCTTAAATAGTATATTTACAGCATAATTGTTTGCTATACACCTTCCTTCAGTTATGGACTTTAATGAAAAAAAAAAAAAAAAAGACGAAGGCTTCAGTTTCAGCCTAAGACCAGAATAAAAAAATAAATAAAAAAATGTCAAGCTTCCTCATGCCTCCTAGGATCTACTTGGTGGACCGACGAGAGCGCTTGTTCCATGAGAAGTTGGCAGCATAGCTCTTGGCGCGGGGGGGCTTCACGGGGGGGTCCTCGGCGATCCACTCCCAGCCATTCTTCTCGCAGAAAGCAACTGCTTCCTCTCTGGATCCGAACTCAAGCTTGTGGAGACAAAGAAGAATGAAGCACGGGCAAAAAAGAAAGTAACAATAGTTATATATGAATTCTATTAAATTTGCTCTTCATTTAAGAGAAAATTACACAAAATGTAGTTCTTCCTATGCATACAAGAACACCACTATCTATTCTATGCATTCAATATAAACAAATGTGATGATTAAACAATCCCTGAACACTCATACCTGCATATTAGACAAGGGATCAGCTGTGGACGACCAGCCCATGAGAGGGTTTTCCCATCTCTCTCGCTCATCAAACGAAATGCGCCACCTGCCAAGTCACAACACACCTTAGCCTCTGAGAATGGTTCTTATCATCGGTTAAATATTTTTAATGTAAGGGTTTCTTCCTTATTCATATATACGTGTGTGTAAAGAAGAGAATGATGAGGAGAGAGGGGGAGGAGAAAGAAGGTGGAAGGAGGGAGGGGGAGGAGGAAGAAGGTGGAAGGAGGGAGGGGGAGGAGGAAGAAGGTGGAAGGAGGGAGGGGGAAGAGGTGGAAGGAGGGAGGGGGAAGAGGTGGAAGGAGGGAGGGGGAAGAGGTGGAAGGAGGGAGGGGGAAGAGGTGGAAGGAGGGAGGGGGAAGAGGTGGAAGGAGGGAGGGGGAGGTTGTGGAAATAGGGAGGGGGAGATGGTAGAAGGAGAGAGGGGGAGAAGGTGGTAGGAGAAAGGGGGAGGAGAGAGAGAGGAGGAGGAGGAAGGAGGGAGAGAGAAGGAGGGGGAAGGAGGGATGGGGAGGAGGTGGTAGGAGAGAAGGGGAGGAGGAGAGAGAAAAGGAAGAGGAGGAGGAAGGAGGGAGGGGGAAGAGGTGGAAGGAGGGAGGGGGAAGAGGTGGAAGGAGGGAGGGGGAGAAGGTGGTAGGAGAAAGGGAGGGAGAGAGAGAGGAGGAGGAAGGGAGGGAGAGAGAGAGGAGGAGGAAGGAGGGATAGGGAAGAGGAGGAGGAAGGAGGGATAGGGAAGAGGAGGAAGTAGGGAGGGGGAGGAGGAGGAAGGAGGGAGGGGGAGGAGGAGGAGGAGGAGGAAGAAGTGAAAGGAGGGAGGGGGAGGAGGAAGAAGGTGGAAGGAGGGAGGGGGAAGAGGAGGGAGGGGGAAGAGGTGGAAGGAGGGAGGGGGAAGAGGTGGAAGTAGGGAGGGGGAAGAGGTGGTAGGAGAAAGGGGGAGGAGAGAGAGAGGAGGAGGAAGGAGGGATAAGGAAGAGGTGGAAGGAGGGAGGGGAGAGGAGGAGGAAGGAGGGAGGGGGAGGAGGAGGAAGGAGGGAGGGGGAGGAGGAGGAAGGAGGGAGGGGGAGGAGGAGGAAGGAGGGAGGGGGAGGAGGAGGAAGGAGGGAGGGGGAGGAGGAGGAAGGAGGGAGGGGAGGAGGAGGAAGGAGGGAGGGGGACGAGGTGGAAGGAGGGAGGGGGAAGAGGTGGTAGGAAAAAGGGAGGGAGAGAGAGAAGGAGGGGGAAGGAGGGATGGGGAGGAGGTGGTAGGAGAGAAGGGGAGGAGGAGAGAGAAAAGGAAGAGGAGGAGGAAGGAGGGAGGGGGAAGAGGTGGAAGGAGAGAAGGGTAGTAGAGAAGGGTAGGAGGAGAGAGAGAAGGAAGAGGAGAAGGGAGGGAGGGAGAAAAGGAAGGAGGAGGAGGAAGGAGGGAGAGAGAAAGAGAAAAAAAAAGAAGAGGAAGAAAGAGGAAGAGGAAAGGAGGAAAAGAGGAAGATGAAGAAAGTGAAAAAGAAAGAAAGAGGAAGCAGGAAAAGAGTAACAGAAAGAGAGAAAAAAAAAATCAGGAAGTAGAAAAGGAAAAACCAGAGAAGCAAGAACAGTAAGAACTTAACAGCATCAACTTCCTACTCACAGCTGGATGTTACTGGTCCCAGACTGCATCGAATTCTTGGCTGGCTTTTTGATCAGGACGCGCCTTGTCTTAACGTGCTCCTCAGGGACACCCGTGATTGGGGTGATGTCGGCCTGAAAAGAGGTAGAATTTTAGGGATCTTTGTTAATTGGAGGGCCTTTTTTTTTTTCCCCAGAAGAATGACAATCCATTAAGGGAAATGATATACACTAATTTTTATCAAAATTATCATCTTTACTATGAGCAACTATGGCAGAGAGAAAGACAACATTAAAATACTCATATCATTAGAAACAATAATCTTCACTATTATTACTATAATCATACATAAAAAGGAATAGCATAAGGCAGCCACTGAATTACGCATCTAAGTTCTACAAAGGACGCCAAACACATTAGGTTATATACCCGTTTACAACAAAGTGTTATGTAGTTACAATTCTGAAAATAACCCAGCAGGCTCTTGTGGTTGCTCTCATATATTCCAATATGTTTAGAGCAAAGGAGTATACTAAATAGTGGAATAACTTAGGATCCCACCTCATGTCATCCATTATCTCAAATGGGATAATTAAACCACTGGGATCATTTAATGTTCACTATAATTTTGCTTTGTGAAATGCATTTACACACAGATGGTTCCGTAAGTTCACAGCCTCCAAAGCGTTGAGTTCACCTGATTTTATCTTTCCTCAAGTATGGGATTTTTATATTTTTTTCAGATGCTATTAATATCGATGCTATTATCATTACTGACAATATGATTCTTAAAATGTCATCAGTACCAACAATATAAAGAATATCATGAAAATCAATACGCAAGAGTAAACAGGTGAGACACACAGGGCTAGCTATTGACTTCATGTTGATTATGCACTTGTTTAGCCACCTATGTATCAACACACTTCATAAACTAAACCCCCAGTGGGCATGGCATCTATATACATGCCATCCCAAGTGGCAGTGGGTTCAGAGATCAACCCATTTGCGACAGGTAAAAATGAACAAAATATGGGGAAAATGCTGTGCTCATTTTTTATATTTTTTTGTGAAATGTCTTTACACTAGATGGCTCTGCCTTACCTGGTTTTACCTTTACTTGAATTGGCGGGAAAATGTATTTTTACTAGTGCTATGAATATCGATGGTTATTTTTATTATAAACATTATAATTGCTATAATGTTATAAACAAAATAAGATAACGCAAAATATTTTCGTAAATTAAAGAAAAAGGTAAACAGGCGAGACAGGCAGTACAAGTACAAGTGTAGCCATCTGTGTGTAAAAACAATTAAACAAGTAAACTCACAGTGGGCATGTCATGTATACATGACACCCGGCGCGAATGGATTAAGAGATTTAATGAATAATACACAGAGTGCAATCTCTCTTGCTCCCATAAGTAGCCCTTTCCTTCATCCAGGCACTCCATTGTTTAACTGTTCACACATAGATACTACAACTCAAAAACTGGAAACCTCACATGATCTTTTAATCCAATGGCAATGGGCATGGCATGTACTTTGTTGTTTCTACACATAGATGGCTGCACTTGTACTAAGTCACCAATGAGCCAATTACGAGCACTGCCTGTCTCACCTATTTACCCTTTTCCTTGATTTATGAAAGTATTTTATGCTATCTTATTTTGCTGTTCCTAATGTCTATAACATAGTAATTACAATGACTATAATAAAAACACCATAGATGTTCATAACAATAATAAAAAATGTTTTTTCCAATAATTCAAGGAAAGGTGAAATCAGGTAAGATCACAAGATCTACTAACTGACTCCTTTGTGGCTAGGCACTAGCAGAGCCATCTATGTGTAGACACATTTCACACACAAAAAAAGAAAAGAGCACATTTTCCCTGGTGTCATTGGGTTAATCTACTTCCACACACATCACAACTATCTAAATACATAGAAAAGAAGTATATATAAAAACAGGATGATATATCTAACATATTTACCCAATACAAACACTTTTTTTCACAAGCTTGACGTCCAACCAAATACTTACAGGAGTATCGATAGTGATGTAACCAGAGAGGGCCTTCTGATGCTCCACTTCCTCGGGCGAAAGCATGGACTTCCTTGCATCACGAGGCTCCACCTGCTTCACAGTCAGATCATCCACCCATCTCGTCGCTGTTGTGCTAAGGGCGCGCCTGTGTGAGGTGGTAAAATTTTAACGTCACATATATTTTGTAATGGAACTAAGTGATGTGGGAATATTAAGTTAGCGATAATAATTTTCTCCAAAACCCTATTTGGGAATAAGTACTTTCAAGACTGGTATACATGATATTAGCTAACTACCAGGGTTGATATATCTTTTATTTGAAAAACTGTAGACTATACAATTTTTCTTTATTGCATATTCAATTGCAGTGACTTCTTTTTTGACAAAATTACCTGCATGCAGTTGCAGAAAAAAGACAATATCTTACAATACTTGATACTACTACACTATCCAACAGGTTTGGAAGTACTCCTGAAAAACTGTGATATTTGAGTATGCAGAAAAATAAGGATGAAATCACCTGGAAAATTTCTTTCAGAACAAATATCACTTTTATTGTGCATTCTTTAGTAATTCAATCAAGGGATTCTAAAACTTTTACTACTGCACCCTCTCCAAAATGGTTCTTCCTTCTACACCTGCCTTGCATCTTATCTTTATACTCCATCAAATCTTGGATTTTGAAAGATAGGACTTGTTTCATAAATACAAAAAATGGCAAACTCTAGTAGAATATAGAGAGACTTTTTCCTTTTCCCCAAACTTGGTGTTAGACCGTGGCCTTATTAAATGAATAAATGCAATTAGAGAAATTCCTACTTTTCCCCTAGGAAAATACAAACGCTTATGTTAAGAATGACTAAGTATACCTTTTAACTATATGTTTTAAAGACCTCTTGTACCTCCCACAGTGTCCTTTCCTCAGCAAAAAAAATTAAAATAACTTTCTGGATTTCTGACTTATTTCTACCCCTACCCAGGAAAACAAAGATCCTCAATCTTCCACATATTCACGGCAGGAGAGAGCATCTGACAGACTTGGCATCAGGCCCTCCTGCATGTCAAATGTGCACTCTACCCTGCAGTGGGTAGAGCGAAAATTCCACACTGCACACGCATGACACAAACTCCTGTAAAACTAGTCAATGGACATCACATTATGTTACATGAATATAGTCACTTTTCTATTATCAGATGTAGCTTATGTCGTGTCCAATAGTAAATTTGATAACGTTTGGCAAGTATCATACCCTAATGACCTTAAAAGCTCTACTCTCCTAGTACCAATGATGCTGTCATGATCCGTGACTCTTTCCTCTTGCGAACAGTAGCAGCAAATGCTATTGTCAAATGTGAAAAATTATAGAGGCAGATGACAACACTGTCATATATAACAATGTCAGGGAATTTTACAAAGCCCTCATCTTGCTATAACATGGGTCATATGCCAGGGCGCATTTCATTCACTTAGGCCCGAAGATCTCCGGCGTGGAGTTAGCTTTCCTGTCAGCATGGCGGCATGGATTTAGCCTGGATTTATTCCTTGGCATATTGCCGTAATGAAATGGAAAAATCACAGCGCGTGCTTTTTATCTTTACTGCTTTTTCAAGCTTTTAAGTTGAACGCAATGCACTTATACATAGTCGTTTGTTTAATTCCTTTACAACATATGCCCCCCCAACCCCTGCACTTCTTGCAACTGTGTTTTAACAAACATCTGAGGCTCAAAATCCCAAATTTTTAAGAATCACAAGGCTGGCGAAAAAATTCACGATTCTTATTAAAAAGTGTGTGCTGCCATCAACAATCTACTTGGCTATAACTTGGCGTCACACTTTATGAAAAATTACTCTTATCGAGAACATTGGCGTACACTCATTGAGCGATTGGCATACCTCCGGCGTGAGTTTTACACAGAATGCACCCTGGGTCATACGGATGTTTCTTCGCCATTATTGGACAGAGATTTTAAGATTATAATAAACAACTGCAGACTTTTTCACTTTCTTCAGATATCTTTCCATACTCAAGTCTCTACTTGTATATTAGAACTGACAGCATTACCTCTATCTTTTCCTGATCGGTCAATATGTAGAAGAGGGCAGTGTGTTACTTTCAAAACAATTTTGATATTTTTCTGAATGAAATCCACTGCTTTCAATGATTCTAGGCATTGTTCCTTGTGCAAATGAATCGTTGAGGAGATATGATCACCATCTTCATCGACAATCTAAATTTGAAAGTCCCGATAGCTGGGAACGGCATGAAGTATATCGGGGAAATTATGGGGTAAAACAGGACGCCCGTGGTTGTTAAATAAACGTCCTAACCCAACATCCAACCTAACTTAACACCGTGGTATATATTCCTCTGGACCCCCGTGGTAATATATATGCCTAGTGAGGGAGCTACACCCGCTGGAGCCCCATGGTGGTATATGCGTCTATAATTCACCCTCGCAAAGTAAACAAAATGAGCGACTTAGCCAAAATTGGGGGATCTTCTCTTTTCATTTACGTACAGCAGCCTTAGGAAGCTCACAAATTGCCAGAGAAGAACTTTGTCTTGGTTTGTATTGTTCTATCACTTCATGTAGGTTTTATTATCCAACTCTCCCACTACCTTATACTACATACTGCCCTATATATCTAAAAAAAAATCTAAAAAAAGAAAAAAGAAAAAAGAAAAAAAATCAACATAAACCTCTTCCCCAAAACCCGGTCTCCAAAAACCTCACTAACCAACCCCCCCTTCAAAAAATCCCCACCCCACCCACCTCCCACCCCTCCCCACTCATCCACTCAACCCCAAACCTCAAAACCCAACCCCTCTCTCTCACCCCTGGGGCCTGGCAGCGCGAGGAAGGCGGGCGAGAGCAGAAAGTCCCAGGCGGAGGGCCATCTTGTCAACAAGGAACAGCTGATCGACGGCGACTGAGGCGACGGTTCTTCTCGGGGAAGGGGTTCGGGGTTTAGTATCTTTGCTGTTGTTATTAATGTTATTATTGTTGTTGGTGTTGTTATTAATGTTAGTATTATTTTTTGGTATTGTTATTAATGTTATTATTGTTGTTGGTGTTGTTGTTAATGTTATTATTATTATTGGTGTTGTTATTATTGTTATTATTATTATTTATATTGTTACTAATGTTACTATTATCATTTGTTATTATTGGTGTTGTTGTTAATGTTATTATTATTATTTGTATTGTTATCAATGTCATTATTATTATTTGTATTGTTATTAATGTTATCATTAGTATTGGTGTTGTTATTAATGTAATTAT